ACTGATCACAGAACGTCACCTTTAAACTGATCACAGAACGTCACCTTTAAACTGATCACAGAACGTCGCCTTTAAACTGATCACAGAATGTTTGCTGTAAGTATTGGCATTACTTCTTGGACATTGCTAACTGAGTCCTGTGTTTACCAGAAACAGAAAGAAATGGGGAAGTTTTTTATTTTGCTTCAACCACAGCTTTGTGTCATCATCACGCTTTCAATACTGAGACACGCAGGATGAGGAAGTGAGGGGCTCCATCACATATGACGCTCACGTTTCCGAGGTGTAGCAGTGACAAAGCTCAGCATTACATGCCTCTTGAGTGCGGGACACAATCAGGGCTAACATAGCAAAAACCTCTGGGTAACACGGACCTCCTGAGCAGGTGAGTTTCTAAGATCTATCTTTATGTAGTGATGGGATGGCCAGGGCTGCTGTATAGAAACCACGGGGGCCCCATACAGCCAACATGACAGCCCTCCCCCCCCCCCCCCATAAAAAAACCCTACAGCTCACTATGCTTCAGTTATGAATGAACACAGTGACTGGTACTGATCACACATTGTGTTCATTTAGGAAAGAAAGGGGCTGGTAAATGTGACATATTTACTTGACCCTTCCCTTCTCTCTCCATCCTGAAGGATCCTATTGTCTGCTTGCAGCTGCCAGTGGGAAGGAGATGAGAGCAGTCAGGAGCACTGCGGGTTGGGGGCACACAGGGGGGGCCTGGGCAGCAGGGGATAAGCTATGGTGCACAGGGAGGGTGATGGGTGCATCGGGGGCTTAATTACTGGAACTGATCCTCTGTATGGCTCTTTCTGCAGCAGCTGAAAGCCAGTGGAAGGTAGAGGAGAAAACAAATTTCAGCGACTGCAGAGAGAGACATACAGGGAATCAGGTCCAGTAATTGCCCCCCCACCATGCTGATTATCCTCCCTGCCCACATCTGATTCACCCAGCTGCCGGGGCCCTCCTGCTCACCTGGGCCCAGTACAGGATGGCTGGTGGTACCCCCTTATCCACAGCTCTGGGGATGGCTATGGGCTGTGCAGACATCTTTGTAAACCCTAACAATGAACTTCTATTATCTGCTCCCTTTTGATCTGTCAAGCATACCATTAAAAGTGTTTTGTTTATTTCTGTTTGACAAGTGCAAAAAAATACCAATTTGTCCCTCCAGAAATCCTGTGCTTTCTTCTGCAGTCTTATCACTATCATTGTTATCTGACATTGCATTGGGACTACAGAACACTTTCTCCCCTATGTTATGGGGAACAGGGGAGGTGCTCTGTAGTCGTAACCAGGGGTGGACTGACAACTCATGGGGCCCCCGGGCAATAGGGGATCATGGGGCCCATGTGTCCTTGCCCAAACTCAAAAAAGCCTATGAAAAAGGTACCAGGGGCATCTCATGGGGCCCCCTACTGACCCCGGGCCCTCGGGCCATGCCCGAGTTTCCAAATGGTCAGTCCGCCCCTGGTTGTAACACACTTCCAGTCTTAGGGTGACAATGCTGTTCATCCAAAGATGCAGTGGGTGAGCATTGTCACCCTAGGACAGGAAGTGTGCTACTGGTGGGATGCTCGGGTGACATAAAAAAGGCAAAAAGACCTGAAAACAAATGCAGCCGCCACATCTAAGGACTAGTACACAGCAATATATTACATTTTTATTCATGTCTATAGATATGCTTTAAGAACCAAGAGACCCTTTCTACTTTCTCATGTAGAGGGACAATCCCACTTTTGGCCTCAAATTTGGAGTTGTCTTGATATGGTCAGCAGAGGTCAGATCAGCCCTCTCATGAGGCTGGGCAGCAGACCACTTATTTTAGTGATCTGTTGCGGGCTGCAGTCTGGGTGCCCTGCCAGCGCTTCTGGCTTCTGCCTCCTCTCAAGAGCCCCTATAGCAAGCCACTTGTTATGGGGGCACTTTTGCATGCTTGCTACAAAGTTTGCTCTGTGTGTGTCCATTGACACACAGAGCATGGCTCAGCCCTGCCCCTCAACTGGCTGTGATTGACAGCAGTGGAACCAATGGCTGCCTCTCTGTCCATTGAGGAGAGAGAGCTGAGAGAATTGATGCTCTAGTGCACGTCGCTGGATCCAGATCAGCCTCAGGTAAGTATTTTGTGGGGGGCTGAGATATTGCTGCATGCAGAAGTGTGTACATAGAATGCATTAAGGTAAAAAAAAAAACTTCTGCCTTTATAACCAGTTTAACTACAGAGAAAATCAGGTCTGTTACCCCTGCCAGACAGGGCTGTACTGTGTAAATCTGAGGTCTGGATGGACAGAAATTCAAATTCTTTGTCAGGTAAAACAGCTCCCTTTATGTAGTTTATGACATGTATGTATTTAGTCTTATTACTCAGTAAATTCAGTACTCTAATGAAGGACAATGAAGCCATTCACTTTTGTGAACAGTATTATTTCTTGTGATGTTTATGTAGCACCCTCCTAGCATATGATGTTAGGTATATTTCATTTTTTGGCGTCTGTAATCAAGGAAGCAGTGCTGGTTTGTTTTGGTCTATTCAAGGTTTTACAGGCTGGGAGTTTAATTGTTTCCTCCTGTCTCTAGAATTTGTTTCTAGAGTTCAGGGACTAGCCAATCCCTGGGGAGGTGTGCCCAGATGGTAACGGGGAAGCTGAAAATAGTCTGGAGCCCTAGAGAGGTTGTTCTCTTCCCTGGAAGAGAGTTCCATACTGGTGCAGGCAACCTGTGGACTGATTTTGCTGATTTTTGGGGTCTCAGCTGTGGCAAGGCGAGGATTTGGACATGACCTGGAGATGGCTATAAGATTTCACCACAAGGAATTTGGCATAGAAAAAGGATTGTCTCCCTTCACTGGGTGGTGTCTGGAGGAAGCTCGAAAGAGGACAGCTCTTCTGGAAACTTTTGAGTAGTGACCCTGATTTGATTCCTAGTGACTCTGTGCTTTTGCGATGTAAGCGCCAGTGGAAGCTTTGGACTGAGACAGCTCTCATAGGGTCTCAGAATACTGGTCATTCTCCTGTCCAGAATCTCAGAGTGTGAGCTTAAAGAAAGGTGTTCTTCTGGTATGGTTCAGAAGTTGCCTCATGGTCCTCAGCCATGATGTCTTAGCCTGTCAGAAAGTCTCCTCATGGTCCCCAGCTGTGAGGGAATAGACTGTTCAATATTCACATTCACTTAAAGCAGAACTCCGGTCCAAATATATATATATATTTTTTTACCATGCAGGGGCCGTGCGCCCACTGCATGGATCAGCTGCTCATTTTTTCTAGGGGTGAGGAGTATTATTATTATTATACAGTATTTATATAGTGCTAAAAGGTTTGCGCAGCGCTGTACATTATAGTGGGGGACAGAACATGAGACAATACAGTAACAAAACAAAACATGAGGGGGTCAAGGGACCTGCTCTTTCGAGCTTACAATCTAGGAGGGAGGGGATAGTGGTACAGGAGGAAGTGGCTGTAGGGGATGGAGTGGTAGGAGGAGTGGAGGAGATCGGCTGTTAGGTGAGGGCGGGGTAGGCTTCCCTGAAGAGATGGGTTTTCAGGGTGTGCCTAAAGGTGAGGAGGGTAGGTGACAGTCTGATGGATTGAGGTAGTGAGTTCCAGAGGATGGAGGAAGTCCTGGAGAAGTCCTGCAGTCGGGCGTGGGAGGTGGAGACCAGGGAGCTAGAAAGTAGGAGGTCTTGTGAGGAGCGAAGAGTACGGGTTGGGTGGTATTTGGGTATCAGGTCGGTGATGTAGTTTGGGGCAGCGTTATGAATGGCTTTGTATGTCTGTGTTAGTAGTTTGAATTTAATGCGTTGGGCAATCGGGAGCCAGTGGAGGGAATGACAGAGGGGGGTGGCGAATACGGAGCGGTTGGTAAGGTGGATGAGTCTGGCCGCTGAGTTCAGTATAGACTGAAGTGGGGATAGTCTGTGATAAGGTAGGCCAGTGAGAAGGGAGTTGCAGTAGTCCAGACGTGAGATAATAAGGGAGTGAACGAGTTGTTTAGTAGTGTCTGGGGTTAGGAACGTACGTATTTTGGAGATGTTGCGGAGGTGGAGCCTGCATGATTTTGCCAACGATTGGACATGAGGTTTGAGTCTAGAGTGACACCTAGGACTTTGGCTTGTGGGGTGGGACTGATGGTGGCATTGTTGGTCATGATGGAGGGGGGGGGGGCGGGCTGGAGGGAAAATCAGGAGCTCGGTTTTGGAAAGGTACAATTTGAGGAAGTGGAGCGACATCCAGTCTGATATGTCGTTCAGTAGGTGGGTGATATGGGCGGAGACTGAAGGGGTGAGGCGAGGGGTGGAGAGGTAAATTTGCATGTCATCGGCGTAGAGGTGATAGTTGAAGCCGTGGGAGTGTATCAGTTTGCCGAGGGAGGAGGTGTAGATGGAGAAAAGAAGGGGAGAGTAAGCTCATACTCACCTGACCCGCCAATCCTATGGAAAACTACTCACCCATGGTCAAGCGGTGGACTGTTCCTGCCTATGGAGTGTGCAGTGAGCTGATGTCAGGAACAGTCCATTTAGAAGACTGCGGCAGGGGGTGGGGGCAAGGGTCTACAGAACCGATCTTGTGCGGGCAAGATCTGTGTGGATCAGGCGAGTTTCTCTCCCCTAGACCGAGACAAGCATTCAACCTGTGTAGTACTGGCACAGCCCCACTGCATGGGCAAAAAAAATGTTTTCCCCGGAATTCTGCTTCAAAGAGAGAATTGCCCTCTAACTGCTATTTTCTAATCATTTTGAAGTATTCCATGCTCTAGCCCCTCTCCTCATACAAGTTCTACAAGCAATAAATTACAAAAAGCCAACTCCTAGCCTGGGAGAATGGGCTGTTGTTCGGGTGGCTGGCAGCCTCTGTACTGTTTGGGAAAGAACCAGTTAATATCAGTGGCCCCTGCAGGGTTAGTGCTACATTTCCTTTAGAGTATCTGGAATAACCATGATGCCCTGTGACAAATGTCCCTATTTATGGGTCTTGTTTTTAATTTCTCCTGCAGAGCAAATGGACCTGTTTGCACAGTCTGGTGATTCGCAGATGATATTTAACACAGAAACTCAAGGTAATGTTATGTCAATTGTTACAGAGCTGAACTTCTGAAGCTAAAAAAAAAGTTTTCTCTTTTTCTCACCCTTTTTTTTTACGCCTGTCAGAAAAAAAATTAAAATTAAGATGTAAATGGGTTTACAATGCATCTATCATTCATGGGCCCTGATCTATTCCTCCAATAGTTCTATAAAAGCAAATCAGGGACCATAGGGATAAAGCTGGCTATACACTGTTAGTTAGTTTTTTTCTATTGAGCCAAGCATGCCGCTTTGGCAGAAGTTGATTAAACGAGCTGGAACAGCCACACAATGACCGAAATTTGGCCAGTTCCTGCTGAAATGGCCAAATCTTGATTATTGTATGACCAGGTTAACGTCTTAACGCTGGCCCTTTAAGAGGTTTCTGATGCCGAGAGGTGGGATGGGGTTTATGATCATGTAACCATCGTGATTGGCTGTCACAGCGGTCACATGATTGGAAAGCTTCCGATCTCTACTTGCTTTCCATTAGATGCTGGTAATTGTGCCGGGGGCGTGTGCCATGCAAATATGCTGCCTTTCTGCATCTAAACCCACCCACAGAAAGGCTGCATATCTGCGTACTCTTGCCGCAAAGAGGTTAAGTGAGTTACAAGTACACTTATGCTGGCCATACATGGGTCAGATTCCGAAAGAAATTTCTTTCGAAAATCTTTTCTAAGAATTTTCATTCGAATTTTGCATCATTAGTGGGTCACATCAATGGACGATTGAGCAACCATTGAATTTAAGTGATCGGGCATGGTGGAAATTTTTTGAAAAATGAATGAGTTTCTAATTAATGATGGGAGAATCGTGCGAGAAATGTAATCGAAAAAGAAATGAGCATGAGCTGTAAACGAAAAGAAAATTCTTGGCCACAAATTTTTTTTCTGTAGCAACATAAGATGAAATTAAAGGCTTAGTTGGTCAAATTTCAAAATCAATGGTTGCACCATTGGATTACAAAATGCATGAAATTTCCGATTTTCTAAAGAAATTTTGTTTGGAATTCGACCCATATGGCATGCATAACTCTTTAAACACATACATACAATGCTGGCATCTACATTGAGTTTATTTCAGGTGCTTATATAGCACCATCAATTTACGCAGCGCTTTACATATATATTATACATTCACATTAGTCAGGGGGTGGCGGTGGACGTGGTATACTTGGATTTTGCAAAAGCGTTTGACACAGTTCCCCACACACGGCTAATGTGTAAGGTAAAGTCTACAGGCTTGGAAAAATCCGTATGTAAATGGATAGAAAACTGGCTAAAAAGATCGTATTCAGAGAGTAGTGGTTAATGATTCATACTCTGAATAGTTTAGGGTTGTTAGTGGTGTACCCCAGGGTTCAGTGTTGGGACCCTTCCTTTTTAATATATATATAAACAATATAGGGTCTGGGATTATAAATCCCATTTCAGTCTCTGCAGATGACACCAAGCTGTGCAGTGGAATAACGTCCTTACAGGGTGTCTTCAACTCACAAGCCGACCTCAATGCACTGTTTAATTGGGCAACTATGTGGAAAATGAGGTTTAATGTTGATAAATGTAAGGTTCTGCACTTGGGGGCTAAGAATATGCATGCATCATACATACTAGGGGGGGGTACAACTGAGGGAATCAATGGTGGAGAAGGATCTGGGAGTTCTGGTAGATCACAAGCTTAATAATGGCATGCAATGCCAAGCTGCAGTTTCTAAAGCGAGCAAAATCCTCTCTTGTATTAAAAGAGGTATAGACTCCAGAGAGAGAGATATCATATTACCCCGGTACAAATCATTAGTAAGACCTCATCTGGAATATGCAGTTCAGTTTTGGGCACCAATTCACAAAAAGAACATTGGGGAACTGGAGAAAGTACAGAGAAGGGCAACTAAATAGATACAAGGCATGGAGGAGATCAGCTATGAGGAAAAATTAGAGGAACTGAATTTATTCCCTCTTGAGAAGAGGAGATTAAGGGGGGATATGATCAACCTGTGTAAATACAGTACATCAGTGGTTCAGAGTGAACTCGATGTAGAGCTATTCACCCTGAGGTCATCACAGAGAACAAGGGGGCACTCTTTACATCTGGAGGAAAAGAAATTTAATCTCCAAACACGGAAATGTTTCTTCACAGTGAGAGCTAAACATGTACATGTAACTATGTAACTGTCGTTAAGGAGTGTACAATCTAAGGACCCTAACTCACATTCATACACATACTAGGGCCAATCTAGACAAGAACCAAATAACCTACCAGCATGTTATTGGAGGGTGGGATGTATCTCCTGTTCCTATTTTACATATTTCCTGTTTGCAGGTGAAGCCAGGAAGCGCCTTCAGCCCAATGCGGAAAATGACCCCAAACTTCAGGAACTGAAGACGGTATGATGTACATAAATACAGAGGCATGCATGAACTGACACTTTAAATTAGGGTGCATCAAAATTTCGGTGGCCTATTGGCCGCTGACCGATATAAATATAAGCACCGATACAGGTGCCGAAAATAACTCCAGACCCTCACCACTGCCACCCCTTGGTGCCGCCGTCCACTGCTGCCACCGCCCGCTTGCCGCTGCTGCCCGATTGCTGCAGCCTTACCTGAGAAAAAAAATAGCAGTGTTTGTATTCTTTACAAACTCAAACATTCACTATATAAACTGAAAAATGTTTGAAGATTTTGCTTTCCTTTGAATCACTTAATGAATATTTAGTTGTATAAGCACTGTTTCTGAGAACTGCCGTACATCTGTGTTGCATGGAGTCAACCAACTTCTGGCACCTGTGAACAGGTATTCCAGCCCAGGATGATTGGACTACATTCCACAGTTCTTCTCTATTTCTTGGTTTTGCCTCAGAAACTGCATTTTTGATGTCACCCCACAAGTTTTCTATTGGATTAGGATCCGGGGATTGGGCTGGCCACTCCATAACATCAATCTTGTTGGTCTGGAACCAAGATGTTGCATGTTTACTGGTGTGTTTGGGGTCGTTGTCTTGTTGGAACACCCATTTCAAGGGCATTTCCTCTTCAGCATAAGGCAGCATGACCTCTTCAAGTATTCTGATGTATTCAAACTGATCCATGATTCCTGGTATGCGATAAATAGGCCCAACACTGTAGTATGAGAAACATCCCCATATCATGATGCTTGTGCAACCATGCTTCACTGTCTTCACAGTGTACTGTGGCTTGAATTCAGTGTTTGGGGGTCGTCTGACAAACTGTCTCTGGCCACTGGACCCAAAAAGAACAATCTTACTTTCATCAGTCCACAAAATGTTGCGCCATTTCTTTTTAGGCCAGTCAATGTGCTCTTTGGCAAATTGTAACCTCTTCAGCACATGTCTTTTTTTCAACAGTGCGACTTTGCGGGGGCTTCTTGCAGATAGCTTGGCTTCACATAGGCATCTTCTAATTGTAACAGTACTCACAGGTAACTTTAGACCTTCTTTGATCTTCCTGGAGCTGATTGTTGGCTGAGTCCTTGTCATTTTGGCTATTCTTCTATCCATTTGATTTGTAGTTTTTCGCTTTCTTCCACGTCTTTCAGGTTTTGGTTGCCATTTTAAAGCATTTGCGATCATTTCAGCTGAGCAGCCTATCATTTTCTGCACTACTTTATATATTTTCCCCTCTCCAATCAATTTTTTAATCAAGATACGCTGTTTTTTTCTAAACAATGTCTGGAATGACCCATTTTCCTCAGAATTTCAGAGAGAAATCCACTGTAACCAGCATGTACAACATTTGCTGCCTTCCTTCCTTAAATAAGGGCAATAATTGCCACCTGTTTTTCAAAGAATGAATGACCTCACTAATAGAACTCCACACTGCTATTATTTTGAACATGCCCCTTTCAATTAGTGATTCAATTACACGGAATCAGCAGCATGCATGTCATGACTGTTGGGTCTGTTGGATTTCTATTACTCTACTACACCTGCTAGTAAATTATTTGCCATGTAGAAATATAATTTCTACCAAAACAGTAATTGCTCAGGTTAGTGATGTCTGACTGCTATTATTTTGAACACAACTGTACATAGGCCACGTCCACATATGTAAACAGTGTTCAAACCACACATGTGAGGTATGGCCACGAATGTCAGAGAAAGAGCAATAATTCTAGCACTAGACCTCTGTAACATTACACTGGTAACCTGTAGAAATTTTGAAAACGTCACTCATGGAGATTTTTAAGTCCCGTAGTTTGACGCCATTCCACTAGCGTGCGCAATTTTAAAGCATGACATGTTGGGTATTTATTTACTCGCCATAACATCATCTTTCATATTTTACAAAAAATTGGGGTATATATTGTGGTTTTTTTTAATTATTAAAGTATATTTTTTGCAAAAAATATATATTCATTTTTAAAGACACATCCCACCACCCCTCGCCTCAGCACACTGTGCATAAAGCACAGATGCCATCAAACTAAAAGAGTGCATTTAGTGTACAGTCGATGCGAATGAGCTCTTATGGGCTGTTCATTTTTATCCTGTTATTTTTGGCAAAAACTCAGCTTTTTAAAAGACCAGGAATAAACAGGCTCTACACCCCATAACAGATGTACCCAAAAGTGGTTTTACAGTAGGTGGCTGAAAAAAAGGAAAATCTGACCCTAATTTATATACAGAGTGGTTTCATGCCCCATTGAATTTGCATATAAATGGTTGATACTATACATATGCAAATATAAAGAATAATTCATAAGTCAACTGTATCCAGTTTCACACTTGAAACACAAACAGACCATCTAAAATTGCACATCAGCTGACAATAGGGTTTCTGATGTTGCTGCTGAAATGAGGATGGAAGTAGGAAAGAGTGTGTAGCGCCTTCCTATAGTTTGGCTGCTAGGCTAAATCTAGTTCTTGGCTTCACTGTACTGAGTGGAGTGGTGATCTATTGCTCTTGTCAGTTCAGGTCTTTCTTAAGTTGAGTGATTGATTCCTCCTACCTGCTTCTGGAAGAAGTTTCCAGAATACATGGCTGGGAGATTCAAATGACCAGATATGCATATTTATCACACCTCGGCCAATCCCTGGAAGGAGGTATCCAGAAGGTGGCTGGGGAGGTGTTAGATGCTTGGGAGGCCTTTCCATAGTGTTCTCTCCTCTCAAAGGAGGGTTCCAGCTCTCTTGGAGCTAGTTGCTTCTGAGACAAGAAACTGCAGTCAAGGCCTCAGCAGGAGCTGGGCTGAAAGCCTGAAACAGATTGCTAATGGATGTTATTGGAGGGCACTGTTTTGAAGTCCTGTTCTGGAGAAGGATCTCAATATCTCCCTCACTGAGGATCTACCTGAGGATGCTGGGTGGCAGACAGCTCCTGGGACACTGAGCAAAGACATTGCTGTGAACTGAAAGTTGTGCAAATGCCAGAAGAGAACTAAATTGTCAGGAATGGATTCAGCATTGGTGGTGGGACTCTCCTGCCGTGTGGGCTGCAGTACCAGAGATGACCAGCGGGTGCTCTCAGCACTGGTGGTGGGACTCTCCTGCCGTGTGGGCTGCAGTACCAGAGCTGACCAGCGGGTGCTCTCAGCACTGGTGGTGGGACTCTCCTGCCGTGTGGGCTGCAGTACCAGAGCTGACCAGCGGGTGCTCTTAGCAGCCAGAAGCTCACAATCAGCCAAACCTGGGGCTGATTACAGAAAGGTGTATATAAGGCATGACCAGGCCTGTGCTCTTTGCCTTGGTGTATGTCTCCCCATGTGCCCCTGTATCCTGTTCCTAGTTCCTGTGAGAAGATACCTTGTTGCCGACCCTGGCTGATCCTGATTCCTGTTGACCGTCTCCTGCTCTGACTACTGGCTCATCCCTGACTATTCTTCTGCCTGATCCTCTGTACTGTGCTGTCCGTGAGTTGCTGAACCCGGCTTGTGACCTTGACCATTCTCTGCCTGCTCCTTTGATGCCTTGCTGCCCGCACGTTGCTGACTTGGCCCGTCTGACCACGCTAACTACTCTGCCATCCATCCATCCTGCACGGATCCAGCCGTACCTGCACATACCTCTGGCGGATCCCTCTATCACTAGCAGGTGTACTCAGGGGCCGCGACCTGGTTCCTGTCTGCTCCAAGTCCATCCCCACCATCAGGGGCCCTGGTGAATAGCAGACTGGGACTTAGACTCCGCGCCCTGGGGAATCCTGCCCTGAGGACCGCTAGAGGTACCACCAGGCAGTCGTTACAGAACCCTACGGCCGGCCTGACCATTCCACCTCTCCAGCCCTGACTACGCCTGTGTTCCTGCACCTCCTAAGATTAGTGGAAGGTTAGTTTGTTTACTGTGCGTTTATATATATCTGGGTGGCTAATAATACCTGTATAATACTATACCTGAGACCTGCGTTTCCCTGTGTCAGTCCGCACCTTTCTGGTCATTCCTTGATTCCTGACATAAATGCTAGACATGTGCATGCCGGAAATTTTCATTTCATTTCATATGCATCCGTTCATTGAAGAATTTTGTTTTGTCATATTCATTATGTTGAAGCAATTCATTTTCGGAATTCAGTTTGTATATTCGTTGGTGGAGTCAAAAACTTCTGCAGTTTTTCGGAAAGAATGCTATATATTCAATATATTATTGAATTAGATAGATATGAATGGGAAGGAGTTTTTTTTTCAGACACTAGTCCAATCCACCAAGAGAAATGGTGTGCGCTAATTAGACAATATCAACTGGCATCATGTGCATCTGAAATGATGAATGGAACAAAATTTGGATCCATTCATTATACCGAATTGTCGACAAATTCAAAAATTGAATTAATTTCCCCATGGACCCAAACTACTATTGCATCATGTGACGTTATCCAAATGAAACAAATGCACTTGTTAATTTCCTTATAACTTTTTGGGGATTCGTTGACTTTGGCCATTTGGAGATTTGTAAACATCAGAATCTCTGAAATTAAAATTTTTGCCCGAAAAAAAGAATTGAAACAAAATAAAATGCACATGTCTACTAAATGCCAATGGATGCTATATGGACTGGGCTGCTCTGTCCTAGGTATACTGGCCATTTCCTGCTACCTCCAGAAAAGTTTTCATTCCAAGTTGCCATTTGAAGTTTAGAGAGAAGTTTTTCCTCCTATTGTTGCTAATGATTGGTTTGGAGTATTCTGTGACCCTAAAGCCCTCTCCTGTAAAATGTATGCAGCAATATATAATAAAAAGATATCCCCTAGACTGAGCCTGAATTGTTGGTGTGTGTGGAACTGTGCTTTTGGATGGCAGCCTCTGTACAACTGTGGGAGACCTGGGTACATTCTCAGTGGCCCCTCCAGTGGTAAGTGCTACAAGTGACAGTTATGATATACTTCAGCAGAAGCTCTCACAGCCAGGGTCTGGCCGAGGCAGAAGAGGCACA